TGATAAATGAACTAAGTAAGAACAACGAACGTAATGAATAGGTAATCAATGAGAAGAACGGTCTTGGTTATGCGAAATCCACTAATGAACATACAAATTGATCATAGAAGTCTCCTCAATCAAGCTCTATTGAACACCTTGTTGTAGAATTCCTAGATTCTAAATTCTCATAAATAGTTAGAAATAGCAAAGCGCTCCTTTCTAACCCTTTCCAATGCACAATTCAAGACAAGCGCTCTAAATTATCCACAAGAAGAAAATAAACGGAGAAATCAACAAGGATTGAATAAATTAACACAAGCGGTCTAATTTCTTCAATAATATTATTCCCTCTTCAAGTTATCAACCAAAAGCATGCATCAATAACCTAAAGTTGCTACTTTGGAAAGATTAATTAGATGCAAGCGAATCCAATAATTCTAACCTAGCAATTGATTAAAGCAAATCATGAAATTAATTCAAGGAACAATATATATTCAATAGATATTAAGAGAAGAAAGATCTCACAATTCGTAGCTAAAAGCTTCAATCTTTAACCAAGAATCCGAAAGATTAAGCTTCCATGGATTCTAATTCCAAAACAAAGAATTCTGAAAATTCCAAGAAAACCCTAGAAAGCTTTTTTTCTCAAGACTTAATTCTCCTTTTCTCACTTCAAACTTAATTAAAACTAAGCTATTTATATGTTTCTATATTTTAATAACATAACACAATAATAATAATAAAATAATATCTAAAACACGAGCCAAAACAAAGCCAAATTGCTGAAAATTAACCAAAACAGCCCGAATTTCTGCCAGAGCCGCTGCCAGCTGCTCTGGACCCGCTGGCAGCTGCTCTGACAGCCCCTCACTCTGGTATACCCGCTGCCAGCGGCTCTGGGCAGCTGCCAGCGGCCCTGGCAGCGGTTCCTGCTGTTTTCGCCTTCTTTCCTTGCTTCTTCTTCTTGCTTTGCTTCACCTTTTCCTCAAGCTTTCTTCCTTGCTCTTCCATGCTCCATCACAACTCTCAAATCACGAGCCAAGGTCCATCCTTCTTACATAACTCTTCATTGGTTCCCGAGCTCACTCACTCACTTATACTCATAAATCCCGCCTTTTGCACATAAGTGAGATCACAGCCCAAAACTCACAAAAGCTAACAAAAGTACATATAAAGCATCAAAACACACCCTAAAATGCTTCTCTCAACCCATGATAAGAAGGCTTATCAAATTCCCCCATGCTTGAACCTTTACTCGCCCTCGAGTAAACTTAGAGAATAAAACACATCCTCCTCACTAAGGTTCAAAACAGAAGATGGTGGAATCAAACTAGCTCTATGCACTCAAACTCAACAAAACATCCTAGTACTTATCAACCAATCACAATCACACTCCCCCATACTTCACACTTTGAATCTCCCTTTTTTCTTATTTATCAATTCATCCCCAAAATCAACTTGGAACGATAAACGCATAGCCATGAGTATGAATATTCTCAACCGCCTAAAGAAATGAAATTTTTGATAAAATTGGGCAAACAAAAACTCAACTTAACCAAAAATCTCATAAAAACACTTCCACATTCAAGAGTGAAAACAAACAACTCATGCTCTCAAATTCCTAAGATGATCAACAAATTCCCCCAAAATCTCAACTATCTCCCAAAATCACCAAGATGAAACCTACCCCGACACCTCCTTATATCTCCTCCCCTTATGACACCGACTCCGGCAAATAGATGCGAAATTTCCTTGAAAAATCAAATTCATGAACATTTCTCTCTTTTTTCTCTCATTTTGCCTAGGAGCCCTTTCGGGTTTTCATCCTAGCCTCTCATCTTTTTCCAAATCTCACTTTCTCACCCACTCATTAGCCACTTTTTTGCTTAGGTCGCCCTTTCGGGTTTTCAACCTAACCGGGCCCCCATTTTTGCCTAAGCCGCCTTTTCAGGTTTTCGACTTAGCGGGTTTCTTTTTCTTTTTTTCTTTCTTTCTTTTTTTTTTTTTTTTACTTTTTTCTGTTTTTTTTTTTTCAAGCTTGCTTCATTGAACCACAATTAAGATAGTTATACAAAACATGAAATCAAGATAACTATACAAAATTCAAAGAATATATGCAAGAATTTCTTCCCCCCCCCCCCCTACTTGAATGAAGCATTGTCCTCGATGCAAGAACAACTACAATGAAACCAAAAGTAAGGGAAAAGGAAGAAAATCGTTACCATCTCAATGAGAGGGACCTCCAGAGCCAGAAGAGCCGGCATCGCCCCGAGAAGCACGCCTCTCGGAACGACGCAAAGCACGGGATGCCAAATGATCCATGAACGCCTCAGTTGGAGGCTCATACTGCGGATACTGAGTGGTGTAAAACCGACTCATGCTTCTTTGATATGCAAGCAGCTCGTGCATCCCATCGCACACCTCCTCTAGTCTATCATCCACATCAGCCCTCCATCGAGGCCAATCATCGTGCTGCACTCCAGCAGCATCCTCACCCCCTTCCTCATCAACAAACTCTCCGCCCATATGAACATCGGGATTCTCCTCTCCCATGTTCTCAACTATGATTTCAGCATCTCCCAAATAAGGAGCAACATCCGGGTCGGGCGGAAGGAAAAAGTCTGCAGCAGTAGGGCCAAAAGGTAATGCTCGTCCCTCGGGACGAGGAAGTCTCAAATAGTTCAAACCCTGCGGTCCGTATCGCCAGAAATAACTACCGGCGACGGGGGAACGCGATAATAAACCGATCTTGACCAGAGTCATGATGTTATATGTCAAGTATGTCGAGTCTACTGGCACAAGATCCTCAGGGGGTGGAACATTCAAATAACAGGCTAGCAAAGAGACCATGCCACCCATACTAATATGGCCACTGGAGTTGGACTTCACCTTTACACAACTATCAACAAAAATCTCCACCCAATTGGGCGTACCGACACCTTCAGGGGTCATCGCCCACAAATACGACAATGTGACTTTGGGGACCTTAGTGGCCTCCCCTTGGCATAGAATAGTGGACGATATAAACCTATGCACCAGTCTAAGGCATGGGTGGGTGATTTTGAAGCTATGATCACCATGAGGGTCAACTTCACAACCAGTTATAGCCCTCCAAAATGTTCGGGACGAGTACGTGCTATAATCACCCCAACGGTTCACCAATGGGGGTGCATCCCAACCAAATGCCATACGCAAATCATCATAAGACATCACATAATTCCTATTGTTCAAATTAAAGGATATTTGTTCACGTCCTTTAGTAAGCGTTGAAAGGAATTCATATGTATACCTGACATAGGTGGGAGCGCATTTGGTCATGAAATTCTCGAGACCCACGTTCCTTAGCAAGAGCCGCACTCCTTCCTCCATCTCTAGCTCTTGTAAAGCTTCTAAGTCAAAGAACTTGGTGCATTGCACCGTTCGTCGGGGTTGTTGAAGCTTAGTCCATACGCCCTTCTCCTTGGAATGCAACCGAACACCCATGAAACCATCCCCTTGAGGCAATGGAGGTGCCTCCCCTTGACTTGAAGAAGCCCCTTGCTTCTTGCCCCTTGAGGGTCTTGATGGAGATGATTCTTTAGACCTCTTGTTGTCTCTACCCATGGCTATAAAAAGGAATATGTTCACTTGCACCTTCACCTTCACCTTCAATGAAAATAAATTAAGCTTGCAATTCCACACAACCAACTCAATTTCACAATTGAAATCAAGAAAAATGGTAAACCTTAGGTGAAATTGTGATGGGAATTGAGAATTTGATGAAAGATGAAGATTTGGGAAAGGGAAATTGGTAGGAATTTGGTATAATTGGAGTAGGGGAATGAATGAGTAGAGAGAAGGAGAAGAAAAGGAGTAAGGGTTTATGTGAATTGGGGGATAATGAAGTTGGAGTTGGAAAAGGGGAAATAAGGGGAAAAAAAAATCGGGGAGAGCTGTAGGAGCCGCTGGTAGCGGCTTGAGGCCCGCTGCCAGCGGCTCTGGCAGATTTTGGTGATTTTTTTTTTTTTTTTTTTTTTTTTTTTTTTTTTTTTTTTTTTGAAATTAACAAAACGTAGAGGGGGGGCCCGCTGGCAGCGGCTCAGGAGCAGCTACCAGCGGCTGGGACAGAAACAAAGGGGTTTGGGCTGCAAGAAGACCCGCTGGTAGCGGCTGCAGAGCAGCTGCCAGCGGCTTCTGCAGGGAAGGCCCCCCTTGTCTCTGTTTTGCTCTGTTTTTGCTGCGTTTCGCGCATAAAAATTGCTCCCAAGGCCTCCACCTACACAAAAACAATAAAAACACTCTTCACATCACACGAAAAAAATAAAAACTAAACTACGAAAAGTAATGGGGAAGAGTTTTCGATCGGGTTGCCTCCCGATTAGCGCCTTTGTTTTACGTCGTTGGCTCGACGCGGCTCATCCCACTTCGCTACTCCATTGATGGCTCGTAGAGATCGATGCACTCCACGTTCTCGGTTTTGAAACCCTCGAAGTAGGGTTTGAGCCTTTGGCCATTGACTTTGAAAATCTTATCGGTCTCGAGGCTTTGAATTTCAACTGCTCCATGCGGATATACATTCACCACTTGAAAAGGGCCCTCCCAACGGGACCGAAGTTTTCCCGGAAATAATCTAAGTCGGGATTGATATAGGAGTACTTTTTCACCGACTTTAACCTTCTTCCTAGCAATCATCTTGTCATGCCACAACCTATTCTTTGCTTTGTGGTATAAATGGGACAATTTCTTGCCCGGAATTGCAGACGGGCCGATTGTTGAACCTGGTGGTATAGGTGGAAGCTTGGAATGTTCATTCAATTCCCCCACCTTCACCTGCACATTAGTAGGCATAGAGAAATCCAAGAAATCACCAGATACAACATTAGTTATAGGTGTGAGGAACTCATCCCCACGATGATTGTTAGGAACATCATGCACCATTGGATCGACAACATTAAGAGAACATAAAGAATGAGTGTTGACAGGATACTTTATGGAATCATAAATGTTATACCCAATTGCTTTCCCATCAACCTCCATAGTCAAGGAACCGGTAGACACATCGATTTTGTTTTAGCAGTCTTCAAGAAAGGTCTTCCTAACAAGATGGGGACTGCTTGTTTGTCATGTTCCATGTCAAGCACATAAAAGTCAGCAGGAAAAATCAAACCATCAACCTTAACCAACACATCTTCCACCACCCCCTTAGGATACACATTAGACCTATCCGCTAACTGAATCACTACCCCAGTTCCATGTAAAGGTCCAAGTTTTAAAGATTTAAACAGGGAATATGGAATAACATTAATTGATGCACCCAAATCCAACATAGCTCTATGAAAAGTGGTGTCCCCTATTGTAACTGGAACAGTAAACATACCAGGATCACTACATTTTTCAGGAAGTTTCTTTTGGAAAACTGCAGAAACATGAGCACTCACTTTCACTTTTTCCTTCCCTCCTAACCTGTGCTTCCTCTTTATAGTACACAGTTCTTTCAAAAATTTAGCAAATCGAGGAACACTTTTTATTAAATTCAAAAGGGGAATGTTTACCTCACACTTGCTGAATGTTTCATAGATGTCTTTGTCTTTCTCATACCTCTTTGTTTCTTTCAAAGCTTCGGGAAAAGGTGGTGTGGGTTCATAAGATGGAAAAGTGGGAGGATTTGCTACAGCTTCATGTTCCACTTCCTTCTCCTCAGCTCCAATCAACTCTTCAGCCCTCTTAGTTGCAATTTCAGTCTCTTTCAGCTCCTTGCCATTTCTCAATGTAATAGCGTTGGCTTGTTGCTTAGGATTCAACTCCGTTTGAGATGGAAGTTTTCCCGAATCCTTAGCTTCAAGTCTGCTCACTGCACTTGAAATTTGACTCACTTGACTTTCCAAATTCTGAATACTGGATTTGGTCTCTTGCTGGAATTGCACCATGTTTTGCTGCATAGTAGAAACATTAGAAGTTAGTGATCTAATCATTTCATCAGTTGACATATCATTCGAATTTGAGCTTTGGCCTTGAGGTTTGGCCAATGGTGCCCTATATTGCTGATATTGCTGCTGGCCTTGAGCATTTTGCTGTTGTTGTTGGTTCCCCTGGGAATTCCCATATCTCAAATTTGGATGATCCCTCCATCCTGGATTGTATGTATTCGAATATGGATCATATCTTCTCTGAGGACCTTGCCCTTGGAAACCCATTGCATTGGCCTGCTCATTCTGTTCCTCTTGTAATTGAGGACATGCATCAGTGGGATGTCCTGTGGAGGTGCATAAACCACAAGCATTCAGTTGATGTGGATTCCTTGAGTTCACCATGAACTCACGCATCATAGAAGTCAAATCAGCTACTTGACTCTCTAACTCAGTTGTATTTGAATTTGCTGCATTCACCCGGCGCGTGGGAGTTCTCTGACTGAACTGCCTAGAATTCTCTGCTAGCTCTGCAATCAGCCTAGTTGCATCTCCTGGAGTCTTATTCACTAGCCCTCCACCACTTGCTGCATTCACCATCCTCAAATCATCATCTGTTAGACCTCCATAGAAGTATAGGATGAGGTCTTGATCGGAATACCCATGGTACGGACAACTAGCACACAATCTCTTGAATCTCTCCCAATACTCATACAAGGACTCATCTTCCTTCTGATCCACATTGCTGATAGCTTTCTTAAGGCTTGCAGAAATAGTGGCTGGGTAATACTTCTCTAAGAAACACTTCTTCAAACCTGCCCAATTTGTTATGCTCCCTGGGGGAAGATAATAAAACCAATCCTTCGCTGCATCTTTGAGAGAAAAAGGAAATGCTCTCAACTGAATTTGCTCATCAGTCATCCCAATCGGTTTCATGCTAGTACATACCACATGAAATTCTGCCAGATGTTTATTTGGATCTTCACCCTTCATGCCATGGAATGCCGGCAATAGATGAATTAGACCAGATTTGATCTCAACATTAGCACCTTCCTCCAACTGCTGATATGCGATGCACAACGGCTGTTGGTTCAAGTTAGGAGCTGTTAGCTCTCTCAGTGTTCGATTTTCTGCCATCACTTCCTCTTCTTGAATGTTGAAGATGTATGTTGATTCACTGGGGTTTGTTCTTGCCTCTCTTCGCAACCTGGAAATATTTCTTTCAATTTCTGGATCAAACTGCAAAACTTCTTTGTTAGCAGAACGGGTACTTATCATACCCTAGCGAACAAACAAAGAAAAAAAAAATAGCTAAGAACAATCCTAAAATAAATTCTACTAAGATAAACAATTAAACGGTAACGCCTAAGTCCCCGGCAACGGCGCCAAAATTTGGTGTGCCTCAGTCGTATGCAACCAAAAATATCACAACTAAGCTAACTGCAAATAAACGTAGTTAGGGAAGTTGAGTTCGAATCCACAGGGAAAAAGGGACTAATAACTGGAAACCTAAGTGGAAATACTCTAGGACGGTAGTAACCTAAGTAACGAGGGGGGTTTTCACGAGCAATGATGATAAATGAACTAAGTAAGAACAACGAACGTAATGAATAGGTAATCAATGAGAAGAACGGTCTTGGTTATGCGAAATCCACTAATGAACATACAAATTGATCATAGAAGTCTCCTCAATCAAGCTCTATTGAACACCTTGTTGTAGAATTCCTAGATTCTAAATTCTCATAAATAGTTAGAAATAGCAAAGCGCTCCTTTCTAACCCTTTCCAATGCACAATTCAAGACAAGCGCTCTAAATTATCCACAAGAAGAAAATAAACGGAGAAATCAACAAGGATTGAATAAATTAACACAAGCGGTCTAATTTCTTCAATAATATTATTCCCTCTTCAAGTTATCAACCAAAAGCATGCATCAATAACCTAAAGTTGCTACTTTGGAAAGATTAATTAGATGCAAGCGAATCCAATAATTCTAACCTAGCAATTGATTAAAGCAAATCATGAAATTAATTCAAGGAACAATATATATTCAATAGATATTAAGAGAAGAAAGATCTCACAATTCGTAGCTAAAAGCTTCAATCTTTAACCAAGAATCCGAAAGATTAAGCTTCCATGGATTCTAATTCCAAAACAAAGAATTCTGAAAATTCCAAGAAAACCCTAGAAAGCTTTTTTTCTCAAGACTTAATTCTCCTTTTCTCACTTCAAACTTAATTAAAACTAAGCTATTTATATGTTTCTATATTTTAATAACATAACACAATAATAATAATAAAATAATATCTAAAACACGAGCCAAAACAAAGCCAAATTGCTGAAAATTAACCAAAACAGCCCGAATTTCTGCCAGAGCCGCTGCCAGCTGCTCTGGACCCGCTGGCAGCTGCTCTGACAGCCCCTCACTCTGGTATACCCGCTGCCAGCGGCCCTGGCAGCGGTTCCTGCTGTTTTCGCCTTCTTTCCTTGCTTCTTCTTCTTGCTTTGCTTCACCTTTTCCTCAAGCTTTCTTCCTTGCTCTTCCATGCTCCATCACAACTCTCAAATCACGAGCCAAGGTCCATCCTTCTTACATAACTCTTCATTGGTTCCCGAGCTCACTCACTCACTTATACTCATAAATCCCGCCTTTTGCACATAAGTGAGATCACAGCCCAAAACTCACAAAAGCTAACAAAAGTACATATAAAGCATCAAAACACACCCTAAAATGCTTCTCTCAACCCATGATAAGAAGGCTTATCAAAATTAATTCGTCGAGTTGGTTCGTATATTTGCTAGGGTGTGACCCGAAGAGTTCAGTCTAGATTAAGCTGTAATATTAATTATACATTAATATTACTGATCAGAACGGCCTCCACCCAAGCATTCCGATCACTTGACCTTGCTAAATATATTAGCTTTCTAATAATTCTTAACCCGCTATCAGAATAATACACTTGTTCGAAGGACACCATTCCTTTCAATGAAATGCTTATATTGGTAAATAATTTGCAATTTCAGTGAAATTGTTGTTTTGATTAAGAAATTGGCTTTTTATATGGTTTTGTGAAGCTGTGAGCTGTCGACCCTCAAAAGTTGGTGTACCATGGAAGCTGAAATTGTTTGCCTGGATTCTGGTTTGGTGAATGAGGTCAATATGTCTAATCAGAGTCTTGTACATGATAGTCATGTTGAAACTGAAGTCCCATCATCTTTGGATTGCTTAACACCTTATGTCCAGCTCACCCAATGTAGTCAGTATGGCCTTTCTTTAACATCTCCGGTGAAAACTCTTGAGACTGTGGAAACTATTGTGTCCACCAACAAGATTTGTGTCTACTCTACCGTTGAACCACCAAGAGTTGGGATGGTGTTTAAGAGTTGGGAGGATGTTGAAAGCTATTATAAAGAATATGCAGAGCAACATGGCTTTGGTGTAACTCGTCCATCAGGGTCGTACACCAAGGATAAGGAGAGGAGGGCGATTAATTGGCGATGTGAGAGTTGGGGCCCCCCTGATATGAGGGCTAGGAGGGAAGCCAAGAAGAGGGAGAAAGCTATGGAAGTGTGTGGTACAAGAGCTGTAGTGAATGGGGAAATTGGAGAAAATGAACTAAATCGGGGGAATAGGACTTCCAAGAAATGTGAATGTGAGGCTAGAATATATGCAAGTGTGAATTCGCAAGGCGAGTGGGTATTGAGGACTGTTGTTCTAGACCACACCCACGACTTATGTCCTACCAAGTCCAAATTAGTAAAAGAATACTGAATGAAGAATTATACTTCAAAGGTGAAGAAGAAGTTAATGGACTATTATGAAGGAGTTCCTGTAACACAAATCCATGGCTGTATGGGTACTAAAATGGTTGATGTTGATAATTTTCCAACAGTTAAAGACCTTCAGCACGAGGTTTACAAGGAAAGACGTTTGAAAATGGAAGGTGGTGATGCCGCTGCCATGATGGCGTACTTTGATCGGATGCAAGCAGATAATCAAAATTTTTTTAATGCTCATCAATTAGATGAGGAAGGCCGTTTGAAGGATGTTCTTTGGGTTGATTCTAGGAGCCGGGTAGCTTACGAGGAGTTTGGGGATGTTGTTTGCTTTGATGCAACATACCTTACAAATAAATATGAGCTCCCCTTCGCCAATTTTGTGGGGGTCAATCATCATGGCCAATCCCTACTCTTGGGGTATGCCTTAGTATCACATGAAAATTCTGACACGTTCTTATGGATTTTTACACAGTGGTTAGCTTGTATGGGCAAACCCCCGGGTGCTATATTGACAGACCAAGCAACCGCTATGAGGAAGCCCTTGGAAGTTGTGATGTCCTCTTCTCGCCATCGGTGGTGTATTTGGCACATCATGAGGAAAATTCCAGAGAAGTTGGGCAAGTGTAAAGAGTAAGTATACGCATTGTGATTTCATTTATGTTGTTTTGTTTTAAGAATTGAGTTCTTTTTAAGATAAATTTTGTAGTCTGTATGGTGATCAATGTTGTTTGTGATTCTGATATACCTACTAGTTCATAAACCTGGATCTGTTTATGTAACGGTGGTGCTAATTTGCCATCCTTATCTGCTATTCTATTTCATATTTGATTGTGCATTCATTTAATGTTAATTTTTACTATAGGGTTTAGTGTTTATATGCTGGTTTTGGTATTGAGTTGATTAAGATAAATATTTGATCAATCTTGTTTCTGATTCACCAATATACCTAGGAGTACATAGCCTGAATTGTTTATGTAATTGTGGTACCAAATTGACCTCTTTTATATGCATTGATTTTATGCTCTGTAATTGATAATATAGTGTTTTGGTTGTATATGTTGGTTTTGGTATGTAATTGATTAAGTTAAATATTGAGTACTCAGTATGGTGATCGATCAATCTTCTTTATGATTCTGTTCTACCTGGGAGTTCATAGCCTGATCTGTTTATGTAATTGTGGTATCAAATTGACCTCCTTTATATGCTTTCCCATTTCATATTTGATTTTGCATTGATTTTATGTTTTGTAATTGGTATTATAGTGTTTTGGTTGTATATGCTTTTTGCTGAATTCATGTGTTGTTCCAGCTATGCTTATTTTAAGAGCCCATTAAAGACTCTCATATATGAGAGCTTTACCTGCGAGGAATTCGAGGCCCGATGGCATGCATTAATTGTGAAGTATCATCTACAAGGTAATGACTGGTTGTGTGATCTGTTTGAGGAAAGGCATATGTGGATTCCGGCTTTTATGAAGGAGTATTTTTGGGCTGGAATGAAGACAACGCAACGTGTGGAGAGCATAAATAGATTTTTCGATGGCTTTGTTAACAGAACTACGCAACTACATGAATTTCTTGAGAAATATACTCGGGCGATGTGGAAGCGTGTAAAAGCGGAATTGGATGCTGATGCAAGATGTGGCGAATACCTTAGGAGGCTTGTTAATGGTTTTAAACTAGAGAAATTTTTCCAGGAAATATACACTGATGCTAAGTTTGAGGAAGTACAGAAGGAGTGTGCTAGGATGGGGTATTGTAACACCAATGAGAGGCGAGATATTGGGAACAATAAGACGGAGTATGAACTAGAGGACCGGGTTTGGATTATACCAGAAGGCAAGAGTGAGGACGTTATTACTGACAGGAAGCGTATAATCCGTGTGATATTTGATCATGAGAGTAAGGAGGTCTGTTGTGATTGCCGCAAATTCGAGACATTTGGTATATTGTGCAAGCATGTTATACGTGTTTTTGACTTGAATGGTGTTGTTGATATTCCCAATAAATACGTGCTTGATAGGTGGAGGAAAGATATACCTCGAAAGCATACCCGAGTTAAAGTTGCCTACCATGATCCAGGTGACCAACCACATGTGCAGCAGCACCGTAAACTGATGAGGGAGTTCGAAGATATTTGTGACGAGGTTTGTGCAGTAGACGATGCTGACACTATTGAGATGGTCATGGGAAGTCTGAACCAGCTGCGTTTGAATGTTAAAGAGAGTAGGAAAACCTTCCTTGAAAAGCAAGTAGCACTCCCATCCTTACCTCCCTCAGAAAAAGGATCAAACCAGGTGGGAACCCAAGCCCAGACACCATCATCGGGTGTACAAATCAAGGATCCTATCACACGCAAGAAGCCTCGTGGCAGGCCTAAAGGGTCAAGGTACAAGAGTTCACAGGAGACCAGATACAAGACTAAGAAACAATCTGCCAATAACCAGAAAACTAATCTGGTGGTAGAGGTTAGTGTTGCATCTACTTTTTTGTGGCTCTTAATCATTTTACTTCAAGGAATTAAACTTTTTTCACATTCTTTTCAGGGTAAAAGAAAAAGATCAACACGTCAGCTTAGCGATGTGTATGAGGATTGTGTAGATCCTGACTGGATTGAAGAACACAGTGAGTCAGACAACTCGTACGACAACTGAAAGATGGAGGATTATGTTTAGTAATTACTTGGATACTGCTCCATTTATTTTGCTACACTATGGCGTTAACTTACTTTGTTGTGGTGTTATTCGGACCTCTACTTTTGTATACAACTAAGAGTATGATTTGGTCGTATTTATATTAAACTTATGCTATGATTGTATTGTTTGAAACATATTCATGATATGGCTAATGGTCTGTGACTCTATCTGAGTTTAATTGTTGAACTGAACGTGTCTCGAGCTTTATACTCCGTACTAGTTTATCTGCAGAGATATCATTGCTTCTACACATGATAGTAGTGACATATATTTATTGCTGTTGTTATTAATTGTTTTTTTCTCCCCCTTTCCTCCCATGAAGTAATCTGCCTCAAGGTAATGAGACAAGTAATTAGCTTACCATGTTCTGAATCCATCCTCCCTTCCATGGCTAGAGGCCCTGTAGAGATTTATAGAATAAAATCGAATTTACAGATCCAACAAGGACATATATTTATTGTTGATTATTATTATTATTATTATTATTATTATTATTATTATTATTATTATTATTATTATTATTATAACTCCCACATCTCTCATTGAAAAGTAATTGCACTAATAAATTAGATACAACTAGAGTGTACTCGTGCTAAAGCACGGAATATATTAATCGTATATATCAATGTTTTTTATTACTACTTCATACAATATTATTAATTTATTTGTGTAAATATGATAGTGAAAGTTATTGAATTTGTTTAGCAGAAGTCATGAAATAGGAAGTTACGATGGAAATTAAAATTAGTAGTTTTTTTTTTCTTTTCCTAAAAAAAAGGTAAAGTTGACAAAAATTGAGGATTTAGAGTTTAAAGTGTTGTGGTGAAAAGTTAAAAAATGACTCTACAATTATATATTAGATTTAAGCGGGAAGACAAATTAATGCAAACGACTAATTGATAACTAAGTGTAGTTTAGATGTAAAGCAACAAATTAAATTAATGAAAAAATTGAGTTGAGTGGAATCCACTTGCAAATATTGTAATCAATTCACCGCTAAACATCAATCCACATTTAGGGCTGTGCGCGGTGCGGTTTGGATCTGAAACCGCACTAAACCGCAAAATTGCGGTTTGTGATTTTTTCAAACCGCACCAAACCGCAATTCGATACAAACCGTACCAAACCGCACCGCAAAATACGGTTTGGTGCGGTGCGGTGCGGTTTGCGGTTTTTCCATAATTTTTTACCTCACAAATAATGATTATTTGCTAATCTTTTGTTATGAAATTTTTACTTGGAAATTGTACAACTATGCAAATAATTCAATAAAGTAGTGCTTTACTTCAATGTTAATACTGACCCAATAACATGCCAAGGCAAACTTGGAGCAAAATCATTAAGTAAACCACAACCACTCCATTACAACTCCAAAGCACAAGAAACGGAGAGTAATAAGAAAGAAAAACTTTGGTTTTCTTAATAATGACCCACACAATTCAGTACATATAAATACAATATAAGAGTCTTCTTTCCATATAAGAGACTTTGCATTAAATTGCGGTTTGTGGTGCGGTTTGGTTTGAAATTTTTTTGAAACCGCACCAAACCGCAAAACCGCGGTTTGGTCAAATTTGAAAACCGCACCGTAATTTCCAAATCGCAAACCGCACCAAACCGCAAAATTGCAATTTGCTTTGCGGTTTGGTGCGGTCTAGACCGTACTCTGCACATGATTAGGGGATTTTTGCTCCCACCAATCGGAATGCGCCACGTGGGCCAATCAGGTCCTGCCAAGTGTCCCCCAGTTGGAACTGTCAGGGCTTGCCACGTGGCACGCGCTTATTCGTCCACCTTGGACCTATTATGTCATGACACGTGGCATACTCCATGCCTAATGGAGAAACCGGCCACCCACGCCCAACTTCCGAGGGAAGCCCAATCAGCCCTAGGTTAACCTAAACCTAGGATTGGCACGTTTCCCAAGGTTATAAATACCTCCCTTAATCCTCATTAAGGGGGGATTACAGAGATAACAGGCTGATCACGCTAACAAAGCAGATTACCTACATTAAACACTCTCACCTAGAGAGACCCAATCACTTTAATTTCCGCATTAATTACTCCTTAATCAAGTACTAACTTGACCGTTGGAGGCGGAGCTCCCACCACCAGGAGCCTCCGTTGTTTTGCAGGTACAGGCGTCCGGTTCCAGTCTCGGAATTGTAACTCTCCCGCAGGACATCAGAAAACCCCGAAACATTTGGCGCCGTCTGTGGGGAGAGTACTTCTGAGATGGCATCCAAGTCTGTACCGACTCCTGAAGAGAGGCGTCCCCTAGACGACCCTCAAGTTCAGTCGGACCACGATACTGAGAGTGAATTTGAAGTTGAAGCTCACACAGCTTCAGACGGGACCCTAAGGGCCCGACGTACCCGTCATACCGAAAGGAGGGAACGGGAACATCTTCAAACTGGAAGTGAGCCAGCAGGCGCACCGCCTGTTCGGCAGCAGCCGACTGATGGGTCTGCTCCCATCACAAGGAACGAACTCATGACCTTCATGAGGGACTTCAAGGGAGAAATTCAAGAGTTGATCAACAAGAAGCCGCCTGCTCCGGACAAGGAGCAGTCGGCTAAGAAACCTTCCACTTCACTGAAGAGGAAGCCAGTTCAAGGGCGAGAGGCGACTCCTCATCCTAAATCTAGGAAGCGGGAGCCGACTGCCTTTGATTTCACAAAATACCGTTTTCCTACTCCAGGAAATAGGAAACCTGTTCGTCATATTCAGGCGGACGGGTCGAGGAAATCATACACAGACGCTCGGCTACTGCTAGAGCAGAAGAAGAGTGACCGATTGTCAGAGTTGGCCTCTACTTCAAACTTCCAAGAAAGTCTGCGAAATACCTCAATGAGGCATACGCAGTCGTATCATGAGAGTCAGTCAGACGGCACCTCCCGTCAGTACGGCTTTCATAGCGACCAGGCGGTACCAAACTTACCGTTTGTGCCGCAACAACAGTATTTTTTACAGCCACCTCCGTTTGGTGGACATACAGCAAAAAACGTCCAACCTATGGACTGGCAGCTACGGTTGCTTAGACTTGGTGAACAGACGTCGGCCTTCTCCAAAGAAATTACTGAAGCCGCTCAGCCGACAAAAGTGAAAAATGTATTAGTAGGCGCCTATGACGGCACTACTAACCCAGAAGACCATCTTATGGCCTTCACCAACCTGATGTACCTTCAAGGGTTGGATGATCCCACCTGGTGCAAGTGTTTCCCAGCGACTCTCAAAGGAATCACACAACAATGGTTCGGAAACCTGCCGACTGGTTGTGTAAATAACTTCAGGACGCTTGCTTACTTATTCACCTCCAACTTCGCCATGAACATCCCTGCGAAGAAGACGACCCTTGATTTAGGAACAATTCAGCAGGGCGAGAAGGAGGGGCTTCGTTCTTACATCAGGCGGTTTAACCTGATGAGAATACAGATTCAAGGGTTACCGGATGAAGTAGCCTATACTGACTTTTTCAGAGGTCTCAAGGACGGGTCAACCTTCAAATTTGATTTGGTCCGAAAGAGGGTGGCGACTCTTCAAGAGGCCTTGATTGAAGCGGAAGCCTATATACAGGCGACTGATCTTTGTACGGTAAAACAGTCGGACGGAAAAAGGTCCGACAAAAGAGAAGGACGACAGAAACAGTCGTCAAACAAAGATGAGAAGAGAAAAGAGGTCTGGGCGGCTGATTCCTCTAAACAGCCGGCCCAGAAAAAGAAAAAAGAATTCAAACCATACTCCCCAAAGTATGCGTTTAACAAGGATAACCAGTTTATCCTAAAAGAAATCAAGGGACGGATCTCAATTGAGAAGCCGTTCCCCATGAAGGGTTCTGCAAACAACCGGAACCAAGAAAAATTATGTGCTTATCATGAAGATGTTGGTCATCACACCAATGACTGCATCAGTCTCATGCGGTATCTGGACCGCCTGGTTGAGCAAGGTGATCTTGACACTTATGTCAAGAAATCTACGGGGAACACTTCCTCAAAAAAGCAGTCGGCCAAAAAGAATCAACAGGCCGACAGCTCCGATACAGATGATGCAGTCGTCTACACCATTGCAGGCGGCTTCTCAGGAGGCGGCCCCACTATTAGGGGCAACAAAGACAATATCAGGCGGTTAGATGTAAATTTCGTTCACCAAGAACGGCCCTCCAAATATTCATTTCCTGAGATTGTCATTACTGAAGAAGATCTAGGAGGGGTAAGAGGGCCGCATGACGACCCTATCGTTATTGAATGTAAAGTGGCCAACCAGAGAGTTCGCTGAATCCTCATAGATACCGGAAGCTCCTCAGATCTCATCAGTAGCAAATGTCTGTCGAAACTAAAATATCAGACTGATTGCATACATCCGGCATCCCACCCTTTAGTAGGGTTTGGAGGAGGAGTCGTCCACCTAGTGGGACGAGTGGATTTACCCATCCGCATGGGCGAAAAAGGGGAAGGACGACACATGGTAGTCCGGTTCCTGGTAGTAAAAGAACTCTCGGCCTACAACATGATTCTGGGACGACCAACCCTAAATAATTCCAAGGCTGTTATAATCCCATCTCTTATGTTGCTCAAGTTTAAGAGGGATAATGGAACAGTCGGGTCCCTAAGGGGAGATCAGAGGATGGCCCGAGAGTGCTATCTCTCGGATGTCAAGCCCACTGTTATGGCCACTGGGTCAAGTGGTGGACAAACAGACCTTGACAATGTCAAGGAGAGTGCGCCTGTTCAAGAAGCAGGCGGCAAGAAGAGAAAGGCATCCCAGACAGGGACCGCACGAAAGGACAGAAAATAGCAATCATTGGCAGAGGAGCGGTCGGATGAATTCCGCCCTCAGCCAGCTGGTGAGCATACGGACCTGATCCTAGACGACTCACGTCCTGACCGAACAGTCAAAGTTGGGACGACTGCTCTAAGAGTCCTAGGTGACGACTTTCACAAACTATTGAAAGAATACAA